TGGGGCCATGAGCCCAGGGGCCGGGCAGCGCCCTCACAGGGCAGTGCAGGCCATGAGCCCACGGGCCGGGCAGCGCCCTCGCAGGGCAGTGTGGGGCCCTGCCCTGGGCATAGAGCACAGAGAAACCACGGCCCCAACGCCAACCTCCCCAAGACTGCTGACATCGGCTTTTCCCCTCTGTGACTTAAAGACCCGACCAGAACAACTGTAGAGGAGAAAAAGGTCATTGAGGGCTCACGGTCGCGGAGGTCCTAGTTCACAGAAGGCCAGCTCCACGCCTCGGGGCTCGAGGTCAGGAAGGACATCATGGAAGAAGAGTGCAGCAGAGGGAAGCAGCTCACATGGTGACCAGAAAACAGAGAAACACTCCAGCTCCAGAAACCAAGTATGTCCCTCACAGCCACACCCCCCATGAGCCATTTCCTCCAGCCACACCTCACCGGCCTCTAGATACCAGCTAATCCCATTAGGGATTAACCCACTGATTAGTTTAAGGCTATAACCCAATGATTTCTCCCCTGAACCTTCTTACACTGAGCTTTGGGGGAACACCATGTATCCAAACCATAAAAAAAAAAAAAAACCTTTTGGTGGGCTAGTTCCACCCCTCCATCCCTGCTGAGGCTCCCCAAAACTCTACTGCTGGACAGAGAAAAGCTCTTCAGTAAAGGGCCTCCCACCTGACCCTTGGGAGCAGGGGCTCCACACATCTAACCACACACTTGCAGGTGAGAGACACAGTGTCCCATAGACCAAGGAGCAGGCCGAAGGGTTGTGATATCATCAAAGGCAGCTGTACCTGCTGGCCTGCAAGTCCAGGACCACCGACCCCAGTCAGTGCTCCTGGTGATTGGCAGCTGCAAGTGGAAGTCTTTCTTCATAGCTGAGCAGGGTAGAGCCTGTTTGTCCCCCCGCTGGTGTGGCCCATGGCCATCACACCTGAGACAGGATGGGCTTGTCTCAACCCAGGCATCACTGCTTTGTTGACCCTCTTGCCTTCCCATCCCACCCCACAAAGCTGCCCACTTGGAGGGAGTGTCCCCAAATGCCCAGTATTCAGGAGAGCAGGCTCGTGTTGTGAGGCTCCATAAGTCCTTGGAAACATAAAGATACTGAGGACTTTGCAGCTGCTCAGGCTGTGCCCACCTGCCCTCCCCCGCCTGCCCACGTGGCCATCACTAGTTTGCCTTCCTGGGCAGTGTGCTCCCTGGGCCGGCCCCCTCAGGCAATCAGTGGAGAGCACTGGCAGAGCTCCCGCCCACCCAAGGGAACCCAGCCTGCTCTGTGGGCTGACACCCACCACTAGAGAAGCAGGCCCACCATCAGTAGAAGTCCAGATCACAATGCCGGCCGCAAAGAAAAGCAAGCTGTGCTTTGGGGTTCTACTCTAAACAGAGAGGGGCAGGGGAGGCTTCTCACCAGGGTGGGGAGGGGCTGGTCACCCTTCCAGACACAAACTCAGAACAATACACTGCACGTCACACCCCGGAACACAGGTGCACGCACGCGCACGCGCGCACACACACACACACACACACACACAGCAGAAACAAAGTCCCCTCCAACACAGTGCCAAGCCTCACTGAGTGGGACACTAATCCACTGATCCTACTTTGTTCTTTCATAGCACTTCTGGCCATGACCACTATTTTGATTGCATGATTCACGACAGTTGGGAAGATGCTGGCTGCCCAGGGGGGCTGGTGACCACCATCTAGCAGATGAGCTGCTCCCACTGCACAGCCTGCATCTTACGCCCACAACTCATCCTCATGTGGGAGCCGGTCACACACACCAGTGAACAGGGGAATGTCCGTGAGAGGAAACCTGGTCACCCAGGGCCCAGCACCTGTTACAGTTTGGAGGTGAGGTATCCCCCAGAGTCCTGCCAATGCAGGAGATGAGATGACTGGTCGGTGAGAGCGTCACCTAGTCCGTCCATTGGAGTCTGAATGACTGAGTGGGTGGGACTGTGGACAGGCAGGGTGTGACTGGAGGGGGCCACTGGGGTGTACCCTGTGCCTCTTCCCTGCAGCCCCTTCCCCTTGCTCATGAACTGGGCAGCTTTCCTCCTCCATGATGCTCCAGGTCACCCCAGGCCCAGAGCAGTGGAGTCAGCCCACCATGGTCTGGGTCTCTGAAACCATGAGCCCAAAAATCAACGTATCCTCTGCTAAGTTGTTTGCATCAGGTATTTTGGTCACTGACTAGACAAGGGAGTCCCTGAGTCCTCCGGTGCCCACCAGGGGGACGGTGCAGTCAGCCGGTGGCTGTCACAGCAGAGACCCGGGGCCTGCCGGCACTGTGCTAACATCAAGTCACCAGACTTTTCCACTCCGGCTGCCTCCACCTGCTCCAGCAGCCCGCTCTGCAGCTCCTTTGCTCACGCCAGCTGGGGGACACCCCACTCCAACAAGACCCCCACTGCAGTGGTCCTCCAGGCACTGCAGTGCTCACGGCACTGGCCCACCCATCGCCCCACCTGGACACAGTCAGGTGACGATGGGCCCCTGCAGGGGTGACTGCTTGGCAAGGTGAATTCATAGACAAGATGGAAGGTGTTGGAACAGCATGGGGCTGAGTGTCT